TCCCACTGCTCCCTGGGGATTTCGAGGTCGCCGCGCCGCCCGCCCCCGCGCGGTTTTGTGGGACCCCCGAGCCCGTCGGGGGTGGCGCCGCGAGAGGCGTGTGCCCGTGGGCGCGGGCGGCACGCACACCTGGGAGGTGAGGCAGGAAGAGGAGGTAAAGGCAAACGGGAAGAGCAGGAAATCATAGAGGACAGAGGGACGGAGGGTGAGGAGGAGGAGGCGGAGGAGGAGGAGGAGGAGGCGGAGGAGGAGGAGGAGGAGGAGGAGGAGGAGGCGGAGGAGGCGGAGGAGGAGGAGGGAGGAGGAGGAGAGAGAGGAGGAGGAGAGGGAGGAGGAGGAGGAGGAGGAGGAGGAGGTCAGGCACCACACGGGTTTGGGATCTCCGAGTGGCGGCGAAAGCCTCCAGGAGAGCGCCCCGCTGAAGCCCTGCGGAAGCCCACGCACGCCGTCGACGACGGGCAGGACGCCTTGCCCCTCGCTGGCCGCCGTCGCCCCCCTGAGATCCGACGTTGCGAGAAAACTGCCACATCCCCAGACCCCCTTGAGTCACGAAACATTCACGACGAAGGGTTGTTCGCTATTCTCGACTTCGGGGGCCCTTGCCGGGCCCCGGGGCCGTGAGGAACAGCTCAGGATGAACAGACAATCTCGGGGAAGGGGTCGAGACCTCTGGGGGAGTCGACATGACGACGAGACGATGACTCACGGCGTCGGGGGTCTGGGTCGCCAAGACTCACGGCCGGAGCCCTGGACCCCGCCTCTCTGCGGCATGCTCCGAGCCAGGCCGATCTGCGACGGGCCCATGGGGCCCCAGCAGGCCGGGCAGGAGCGCCCGGTGTCTCAAGAAGTGCAGCGCCCGGACCTCGGCGGCCACACGGGGCGGCGCCGGTCGGCGAGGGCGCGCCGCCGACGGCGGCCGGCCCCGCCATGCGCCACGGCAGCGCCACGGCGGCGCCAGCGTGGCAGACCGCCGCGGTGTCGCTGCCGTGGCTCAGGAGCGGAAGAAGGACGCACGCGTGCACGAATCCACGTGGTTCTCGAGAGGTTACGCATGGCGCGAGCGTTCGTATTGCGAGGCTGGTCTCGCGGACTGGGGGGGCGTCTTCGTGTGCGTGGTTTGGCGCGTACGTCTTTTGTGGACCCCCTAGTGGCGGCGCCCACCCAGGCGCTACGTCTTCCCAGCCGTGCTGCTGCTCCTGGCTCGGCCCATGTCGGCGTGGGCGGAGGCGCCGGAGGCCTTCGAGCGGACCATGCTGATGCTCGGCCACCTGGTGCTCGGGGGCGCCTAAAGAAGGAGGCGTCGGTCGTCGGTCGTCGTCGGTCGTCGGCCGTCGGTCGTCGGTCCTGGGTCGTCGGTCGTCGGTCGCCGATCGTCGGTCGTCGGCCGTGGGTCGTTGTCGTTCTCGTTCTCGTTTTCGTCCTTGTCCTCGTCCTCGTCCTTGTCCTCCTTCGCCTCCTCCTCCTCCTGCTCCGGGTTCGTGCGGAGGAGTTTAGGCCCAGATCCTGCCTGTGGTTTAGGCTCCGCCGTGTGGGCATCGCTTTCGCCCCCTCCCCTCCCCTCCCCTCTCTTCGCACGACCTCTGGTGCTTGGTCGAAAGGTCCACAAGGTCTTGCTCCAGGTTCGCGGGGTTAGGAGGAGGAGGAGGAGGAGGAGGAGGAGGAGGAGGAGGAGGAGGAGGAGGAGGAGGAAGGAGGAGTAGGAGGGAAGGAGAGGGAGGAGGGGAGGAGGAGGAGGAAGGAGGGAGGAGGGAGGAGGGAGGAGAGAGGGAGGAGGAGGAGAAGTAGGAGGGATGAACGGGGGGGAGGAGGAGGAGAGAGGAGGAGGAGGAGGAGGAGGGCGGAGGAGGAGGAGGAGGAAGGAGGGGAGGAGGAGGAGGAGGAGGAGGACGGAGGAGGAGGAGAGGAGGAGAGGAGGAGGAGGAGGCGGAGGAGAGGAAGGAGGAGGAGGAGGGAGGAGGAGGGAGGAGGAGGAGGAGGAGGAGGAGGAGGAGGAGAGGGAGGAGAGAGAGGAGGAGGAGGAGAGGGAGGAGGAAGGAGAGGAGGGAGGAGGAGGGGAGGAGGAGGAGGAGGAGGAGCAGGAGGAGGAGGAGGAGGAGGAGGAGGAGGAGGAGGAGGAGGAGGATAATGATAATGAGGAGGAGGAGGAGGCGGAGGAGGAGGAGGAGGCGGAGGAGGCGGAGGAGGAGGAGGAGGAGGAGGAGGAGGAGGAATTCGAGCGTCGAGGCGTTGGTTCCCGCTGGGCCTCACGAGGGCCCGCGGGGTCCTCGCGGGAGACCTCCGCGGTGAGCGCCGGAGGCTTCCGGAGACTTCGGGGTGGATCGGCGCAGGTGGGTAACAATATCGACCCCGATCAAGCAGTAGATCTTAGAAGACCCCGATCCGCGGATCTGGTTTGGATCCTGATCTTCCGGATTGGATCTTTCGAGTAGGGGACAGAGTACAGAGTTAGTTTGCCCCGAAGTTTGATTTCCCCCCATCGAATCTACGAGGAATACGCTGAATGTTCGAAATTCAACTGAGAACCCTAAGTATTTGTCCATAGAATCTGCAAGAAAGTTCATTTTGGGCTTAATCAATTTTGTAGGCGATCCCCTAATCGAATCCTGCTAATCCGTGGATCAGGGCCGCGGATCGGTTTTCGTATCGCGCGGCCAATCCCGATGGGGTCCAGGCTGGTCGGGACGAAGCCCATTTCGCATGACGCGTCGGCGGCGCGCCCAGGGGGAAGGCAGAGGGGGCGCGCTTTCTCAGAAGGCTCAAAAGGCCCCTGACTTCCTGAGAAGCTCTTTCGGATCTTTCTCCAGAAGCAGGGGCGGCTTCTCAGAAGGCCAGAGGGTTTCCGAGAGGGCCCGCCACCCGCTGAGAAGGCCTGCCCCCTCTCACTTCTCCTCTTGGGCGCGCCGCCGAATCAGACCGGACGATCAGAACAGGCCGACGCAGAGTTTTGCCGGTCTCGGGCCAGCGTTTCGTCTCCTGCAGGACTCTTCTGAGCCAGGCTGACTGCTGACGATGCGTATGCAAAAGGGTACGGTAGCATCGCCCCGACACGTACGATCGCCCATTCGCCCCGCCCTGCTCAGGAAGTGCGGCTTCAGGGTCGGGGGGCCTACAGCCGATTCCAGGCTGGCGTCCCCTCCCTGGAGTCAGTCCCCCCCTCCCCTCGTCGAAAATACGAATCTGCTTGACCCAAAAGTAGGTCCAACTGAAAGGGGTGGTGAATAGATTTGGCGCAATAGACTTGCAGGGTTGAAGCAGATTTGGCACGTGCAAGGCGTTCTGGTGTGCTGCAGATGCATTGCTGGATTTTTGCGTCCACTACATTTAGCTGCAATCTACTGCAATACAATCTCTGGCGCAATACACTCGCACTACAATTGCCCAATAACTATTGCACCACCCCCTTTCAGCTAGACCATTTTTGGGTCAACCGGGCTGGAGTCGGTCCCTTCCCATTCGTCGAGAATACGAAGCGCCCCGCCATTGCGGGAAGGAGGGTGGGGGCCAGCGCGGGCTGGATCGGGGGTTGGGTCGCGGGGCGGGTCCCAGGGTGGGTCGCGGGTGGGTCGCGAGCGGGCCGCGGGCGAGGACGATGGTTACGCAACAACAGCAGCAACAGCAACAGCAACAACAACCACAACCACAACCACAACCACAACCACAACCACAACCACAACCACAACCACAACCACAACCACAACCACAACCACAACCACAACCACAACCACAACCACGAACACAACCGCAACCACAACCACAACCACAACCACAACCACAGCAACAACATCAACGACAACAACATTCACAACAACAGCAACATTTACAAAAACACTTATTTTAAGACTGTCAGCTCTTATTCGCTCGACTGTCATTTAGCGTGTATTTCCCAAACCCTCGCTACCCGCCCTCTTCGTCTTCGATCGTGCCCCTTTTGGAGGGGAAATCTTTCTTCCCTGCAGGCCTGGCCCACGCAAGCGGCGGGGCGGCCGCGGACCGTCGGCCTGGCCAGCGGCAGCGCTGATCGGCGGGCCTCCTGGGGCGGCGTTCTCTTGGGGTCTCCTGGGCGCCTCTTGGGGCCCTCCTGGGGCGCTCTTGGGCGCCTTGGGTGAGCATCTTCGGAGGGCAATCTGGGAGGAACTCGATCAAAGAAGGGGATGGGGGGTCCACAATGAGCGCCGCCCCTCGATAGCACCAAACATCGCCATCTAGGGGACCTCTTGGGCTCTCTTGGTCGGGGCCTTCTTGGAGCCGTCTTGAGGCCTCGGATGGCCATCGGACGCGGGAAGGATTTGGAGCTGTTCCGAGACCGAGTGGCCTTTTGGGAGTGTTCCGAGACCGCTTGGAGCCGTCTTGGGGCTGCCTTGCGGCATCTTTGACCCCATATTGGCCATCTCACGGCATCTTGAGCCATCCAGGAGGTCATTTTGGGTTCCCTGAGGCCCTCTAGGAGACATCTGAGCCCCCCGAAAAAATGAAGAGCTGCAACGGGGCCACGAAGGGCAGCGAGGGGGCCACGAAGGGGTATCACAGGTCCACGAAGGGCGGCGGGGGGGCCACGAAGGGCTGCAACGGGGCCACGAAAAAGGCAGCGAGGGGGCCACGAAGGGCTGCAACGGGGCCACGAAGGGGAACGAGAGGGCCACGAAGGACTGCAGCGGGGCCACGAAGGGCGACGAAGGGGCCGCGAAGGGCTGCAACGGGGCCACGAAGGGCAGCGAGGGGGCCACGAAGGGCTGCAACGGGTCCACGAAGGGCAGCGGGGGGGCCACGAAGGGTTGCAACGGGGCCACGAAGGGCAGCGAGATCCCGATTCCTAAGTCTGCTATGGGGGAGTCCTAAGCGTGAACGCGACTCCTGGGTGCCTGAGTGTCGGGAGCGCGGCGCTGCAGTAAATTGCGGGGAGTTCCAACGCAAGAGCGAGATTCTGGAGTAAATTGCAAGCGGGTCTCCAGCGGGAGTGCGACTCCAGAGCGCCGAGAGAGCGATTCCTGAGTAAATCGTGAGGCAGTCCCCAGGGAGAGTGCGATTCCCGAGTGAAATGCCAGGAAGTCTCAGACGGAAGCGGGGGTTCTGGCTAGATTGTGAGAAAGTCTCACGCGGGAGCCGTTGTTGTTGTAAACCGAGGGCCAGGGGCACAGTTTGAGCTGAGTGAATTCCCGTGATAGAAACAGGGTGCGAGCCCTGGGGGAAGCACTTCGATTGAAAAAGCTATGGTCACCGGAGGGGGGGGTCGTCAATCATTTTTTTCAGTCGTGAGAGTTCAACAAAAACAACCACAACAACCACAACACCAACAACAACAATATCAACAACAGTAACAACACCAAACAACATCCGCTGGACGGCGTGCCAGTTTTGCCACGCACCCCGGGACAGTGAATGACCGTTCGGCCTATTCATTCTGAAGAAGGCTGGATGAAGACACACTTGCGGTGGTTTGGCGCCCCAGCCGCACGGGCATCCAAACGTGGATATTTTTCTTAGCAGTGCTTTTTGTATTGTTTTTCTTTGGGAGGGGGGGGGAGCAGCTCTCCAGAAACAAGCTACTCCACCCCCTGCAGTCAGTCCCCCAAACAAGCTACTCCCCACCCTGGAGTCAGTCCCCCCGCTTTGTCTCCCCAGACCCCCGACGTCGGAATTTCTCATTTCCGCTGGGCGTGTCTTTCGTCCCGGGTCATCATTTGACGGCTGCGAGGCCCGAAAACGTCCGACTTGTTTGGATTTCGGTACCCGAAGTCAGCCCCTGGGGCCTATGTGGAGTGCGCTCTGACCAGGCTTCGGATGCGGATCCGCCCGTGGCGGCTAGAAGTCCCCTGGAACTCCAAAAACAGCGAACATCTGAAAAACCTCTGCCCCATCAGGTCTTCAGCTGACGACTAGCCCTTGAACCCATAGCCCATAACCCTCCACAAGTTCTGAGGCTCAAATTCGACCAGGGGCTACAGTCGTACGATGTCGATGAGGGGTTTCTGGACGAACGGGGGCCCTCCAAGGCTCAGAGAGCTGGCACTCGGCCGCGTACCGCGCAATTCACTCCGAAAGGGCGGGGCGCGAGTCTGGCTGGGTTCACTGGTTAGATGCTTTCATCACTCGCCATGAAGGGGAAACGCATCCTGTGGTAGGTTCATGCGGCGTTGGCGCGCCGGCGACGCTGGCGAAGACGCTCAAGGTTGAATTCTCTGCGACTCGGAAGCACCGAGGGACACGGTAACGACACTTGAACGATTGGGGCCGCGATCGGTTCAAGGTTGAACGATCGGCGCGGTGTCAACAACCTTTGCGCGCGCCGACGCCACACGAACCTTCCGTAGGCCCACGGGCTTGTTCCCCAGGGCCATTTCGTCAGCCTGAGCCTTTTGGGAGGAGGAGGAGGAGGAGGAGGAGGAGGAGGAGGAGGAGGAGGAGGAGGAGGAGGAGGAGGAGGGCGGCGGCTTCCTCCAGGCCCCTCGACCTTCCTGCCAGATCGAGTGCACGATCCCGGCCTCGCCAGGCCCATCGCGGCCCCCCATGCGCCTCTGGGATGGCCCTATGGGCCTCGCGGGGGCCGGCGGGAGTCCACCTCTGGGCCAGGGTCACCTCCTTGGCAGAATGCCCCGTTCCGCCCCACTGTTCGCACGCAGCTCGTGTCGGGCCTCACTGCGCCGCCCGCGTCGTATCGAAGGGCCTCGCGTGGGCGCTGGCACACGTCCTGAGGATCGCCCAGGGCCACTTTTTCACCTTGGGGCCGTTCTTGGACGGTCCTGGGGCTGGGGAAGAGCCAAGCCGGCCGTCACCGTCGCGATTTGTGGCGGCGCCGGGAGCCGAGGATTCGTTGCTCGCTCCCCGCCAGGTTCGGGGGAGCGTAAGACCCGGGTTTGCCGGGACTCGGGTTCGCCATCGTTTTTTGACGACCGCGACTCGGATTTTGACGAGGAGGAGTTTCGTGGGATGTTTGCAGCGGGAGGCCTCGTCAAAATGCAGGCTCGGCCTCGTCATTTTTTTGACGACCTCGTCGGGGATTTCCGAGTCCCCCGTACCCGGGTCTTACGTCTCCCCGCCAGGTGCACGATCCGGGCCTCGCGGGGCCCGTCGCGGCCTTCCTGCAGCAGGCCCGGGCAGACCCGCCACCACAGGGTGGCAGCCGTGGCCCTGACCCCCCCCATGAGGGAGCCATCGGCGGCGGTGGGTATCCCCAGGCGGGTGTCTGGCAGGCCTCGAGGCTGACACCAACACCTTGGACGCCCGAGTTATCCGGGGTAACTCGGGTCCGGGGTAACTCGGGTTTGGGTTCCCGAAAAACGAACCCGAGTTAGCCCTGACCCGAGTTACCCCTGATGATTCGGGGCTCTGGACGCCCGAATTATCCGGGGTAACTCGGGTCCGGGATAACTCGGGTTCGGATTCCCGAAAAAACAAACCCGAGTTAACCCTGACCCGAGTTACCCCTGATGATTCGGGGCTCTGAAACACCAGTATCGGCGGCGTGCCTCCACCGAGGGAAGAAGATCCCGGCCTCGGCGATGGCGGTAGTGTTCTGGCCTCCACGGTGGCCGAACTATGACCACCAGCACCGACGTCTAGGAGCGGCTTCCCCCTGTGGAGGCACCCCCCTGTGTTGGTGTTGGTGCCCCTCTCCAGGCCTCCACGCGTCGGCGGAGCGCGCGCGGGGGGGCGGCGCGAGGGGGGCTGGCCTGCCGAGGCTGCCTTCGGAGAAGTTCCCCCCCGCCTTCGCGGAGGGCGCCTCCCTCGCGCCACCCCCTCTCCGTGCGTGTCGCCGAGCCCGGCTCGGAGGGCGCTAGCTTGCTGGGCCTGTTTTCCACCACCACCATCAGTTGGAGGGAGAGGGACTCTTCCTCCTCCTCCTCCTCCTTCTCCTCCTCCTCCTCCTCCTCGTCCTCCTCCTCCTCCTCCTCCTCCTCCTCCTTCTCCTCCTCGTCCTCCACCTCCTCCTCCTCCTCCTCCTCCTCCTCCTCCTCCTCCTCGTCCCCCTCCTCCTCGTCCTCCACCTCCTTCCCCCCTCCAACTTATGGTGGTGGTGGCGGCGAAAACCAGGTCCACCAGCTGAAAACCTGCGGCGATCCTGTCCAGGCCGATCCCGGGCCCAGGGCGGGTGCACTTGCCTTCGTGGCCAAGCCAGTCACGAGGGCGCTCACACAGGATCGGCCTCGCCAGGGTCGGTGCAGGCTCATGTCAGGAGAGGAAAAAACACACAGACACGATTAATCCTCGAATCCTTAGAAAATATAGGAAAATATGGGCAATGGGGGGGAAGACATAAACCCAGAAACTATGGGAACATATGGTGAATATTTTTATGTGTGTGCATTTATTTGTGTGTCCTGGGGCCCCTTTATCATGGTTGGCGTCGTCCTGACGTCCATGCCTCCCACATGGGGTCCGAACAGATGGGGTCGGAGGATCGCGCCGCATCGCCGAGGCATCGACGGTGCTGCTCGACGTGGAACCCAATCTTCTTCACGCCGACGGCGCCGATGCATCGCATCGGCGATGCATGGCGATGCGGCGCGATCCTCAGACCCCGTTCGGTCGGGCGACGACATCCATACATATGCCCTTGGCCAGGCCCGAGATGGGCCTGGCCTGGGGCAGTGGGTATATATCGAAGACGCCTACGGTGAGTCACCGCCGCCCTCTGCCTTTGGAAACTCCCATGCGGCCAAACGTTAGGCCGAAGTTGGGCCACGCTATTGGACTTTGTGTTTCCCCAGCCGATGAGGACCCAGTTGGGGAAACACTTTGGAGAGGAAGACATGGAGGAGGAGGGAGGCGAAGGAGGACGAGGATGAGACGGATACTGAGAAGGAGGAGGAGGAGGAGGAGGATGAGGCCCGGCCCTGCCAAAATGGCGTCTTGCATGTCCAATCCTGCTCGAGTGGGCGGGGACACGCCTGGGGACGAGCCAGGAAACGCGACAGAGGACGAGCCAGGGAATCTGCCACGCCGTGTGGCGTGCTGGGGGGACGTGCCAGGGCACGTCACGCCAGAACGTCGCAGGGGACGCGCCGGGGGACGCGACAGCTCGCCAGGGGGACGCCCCCCCCCCACCCCCCCACACGGGCGTGCGTTTCGCCCGAGACCATCCTCAACAGCTCCTCCTCCTCCTCCTCCTCCTCCTCCTCCTGATTTCCTCCTCCTCCCCCTTCCTCCCCCTCCTCCCCCTCCTACCCCTTCTCCCCCTTCCTCCCCCCTCCTCGTCCTCCTCCTCCTCCTCGTCCTCCTCCTCCTCCTCCTCCCTCGTCGGTCTCCTCCTCCGCCTCTTCTCCTCCTCGTTCCCTCCACCTCCTCCTTCCTCCTCTCCTCCTCCGCCTCCTTCCTCCTCCTCCTGTCCCTCCTCCTCGTCCTCCACCCTCCTTCCCCCCTCCAACTTATGGTGGTGGTTGGCGGCGGAAAAACCATGGTCCACCAGATGAATACCCTGCGGCGATCCTGTCCAGGCCGATCCCGGGCCCAGGGCGGGTGCACTTGCCTTCGTGGCCAAGCCAGTCACGAGGGCGCTCACACAGGATCGGCCTCGCCAGGGTCGGTGCAGGCTCATGTCAGGAGAGGAAAAAACACACAGACACGATTAATCCTCGAATCCTTAGAAAATATAGGAAAATATGGGCAATGGGGGGGAAGACATAAACCCAGAAACTATGGGAACATATGGTGAATATTTTTATGTGTGTGCATTTATTTGTGTGTCCTGGGGCCCCTTTATCATGGTTGGCGTCGTCCTGACGTCCATGCCTCCCACATGGGGTCCGAACAGATGGGGTCGGAGGATCGCGCCGCATCGCCGAGGCATCGACGGTGCTGCTCGACGTGGAACCCAATCTTCTTCACGCCGACGGCGCCGATGCATCGCATCGGCGATGCATGGCGATGCGGCGCGATCCTCAGACCCCGTTCGGTCGGGCGACGACATCCATACATATGCCCTTGGCCAGGCCCGAGATGGGCCTGGCCTGGGGCAGTGGGTATATATCGAAGACGCCTACGGTGAGTCACCGCCGCCCTCTGCCTTTGGAAACTCCCATGCGGCCAAACGTTAGGCCGAAGTTGGGCCACGCTATTGGACTTTGTGTTTCCCCAGCCGATGAGGACCCAGTTGGGGAAACACTTTGGAGAGGAAGACATGGAGGAGGAGGGAGGCGAAGGAGGACGAGGATGAGACGGATACTGAGAAGGAGGAGGAGGAGGAGGATGAGGCCCGGCCTGCAAAATGGCGTCTTGCATGACCAATCCTGCTCGAGTGGGCGGGGACACGCCTGGGGACGAGCCAGGAAACGCGACAGAGGACGAGCCAGGGAATCTGCCACGCCGTGTGGCGTGCTGGGGGGACGTGCCAGGGCACGTCACGCCAGAACGTCGCAGGGGACGCGCCGGGGGACGCGACAGCTCGCCAGGGGGACGCCCCCCCCCCACCCCCCCACACGGGCGTGCGTTTCGCCCGAGACCATCCTCAACAGCTCCTCCTCCTCCTCCTCCTCCTCCTCCTCCTCGCTTGAATCCTCCCTCCTCCACCCCCGTCCTCTCCCCCAGCCTCCCACCTCCTCCCCCTTCTCCCCCTCCTCCCCCTGAACAATGGATCCTCGTTCCTCCTCCTCCTCCTCGTCCTCCTCCTCCTCCTCCCCTCGTCGTCCCCTCCTCCTCCTCCTTCTCCTCCTCGTCCTCCCCTCATCCTCCTCTCCTCCTCCTCCTCCTCCTCCTCCTCCTCCTCGTCCCCCTCCTCCTCGTCCTCCACCTCCTTCCCCCCTCCAACTTATGGTGGTGGTGGCGGCGAAAACCAGGTCCACCAGCTGAAAACCTGCGGCGATCCTGTCCAGGCCGATCCCGGGCCCAGGGCGGGTGCACTTGCCTTCGTGGCCAAGCCAGTCACGAGGGCGCTCACACAGGATCGGCCTCGCCAGGGTCGGTGCAGGCTCATGTCAGGAGAGGAAAAAACACACAGACACGATTAATCCTCGAATCCTTAGAAAATATAGGAAAATATGGGCAATGGGGGGGAAGACATAAACCCAGAAACTATGGGAACATATGGTGAATATTTTTATGTGTGTGCATTTATTTGTGTGTCCTGGGGCCCCTTTATCATGGTTGGCGTCGTCCTGACGTCCATGCCTCCCACATGGGGTCCGAACAGATGGGGTCGGAGGATCGCGCCGCATCGCCGAGGCATCGACGGTGCTGCTCGACGTGGAACCCAATCTTCTTCACGCCGACGGCGCCGATGCATCGCATCGGCGATGCATGGCGATGCGGCGCGATCCTCAGACCCCGTTCGGTCGGGCGACGACATCCATAACATAAGCCCTTGGCCAGGCCCGAGATGGGCCTGGCCCGGGGCAGTGGTATATATCGAAAGACGGCCTACGGTGAGTCACCGCCGCCCTCCCCCCTCTCCTTTGGAAACTCCCAGACCTTGCGGCCAAACGTTAAGCCAAAAGTTGGGCCAGCTATGGACTTTGTGTTTCCCCAGCCGATGAGGACCCAGTTGGGGAAACACATGGAGAGGAAGACATGGAGGAGGAGGGAGGCGAAGGAGGACGGGATGAGACGGAACCTGAGAAGGAGAGGATGAGGAGGAAGAGGCCCGGCCCCTAGCCAAAAATGGCGTCTTCATGTCCCCAATCCTGCTCGAGTGGGCGGGGACACGCCTGGGACGAGCCAGGAAACGCGACAGAGGACGAGCCAGGGAATCTGCCACGCCGTGTGGCGTGCTGGGGGGACGTGCCAGGGCACGTCACGCCAGAACGTCGCAGGGGACGCGCCGGGGGACGCGACAGCTCGCCAGGGGGACGCCCCCCCCCCACCCCCCCACACGGGCGTGCGTTTCGCCCGAGACCATCCTCAACAGCTCCTCCTCCTCCTCCTCCTCCTCCTCCTCCTCCGTAGCCATTTTGGCTCAAGATGCTTTGTTCCGCAGGGGAACAAGTGGATACCGCTAGTCCGCGGCCAGTTTGCATTCCTTCCCCTGGTCAGCCCCAGGGTGAGCACCGAGGTGGTCCGCCCCACCTCGGAGCATCGGAGGCACACACCACGAGCCTGCGCAGGCCATGGGGCGCGGGCGCCAGACCTACTCGATTTGTGCGACCTGCGGAGGCTGGGTCTACGACTGGAAACTGGAGAGGTCAGGAGGGTGGTGCAACAAGTGCCAGTCAGTCATGCCGGGGTGGAAGCCTATGGCCCCAGGCACGGCGGCGGCGGACAAGGGCAAGAGCACAGGCAAGGGGCCCCCCTGGCGTAAGCCGTCGGCGGTCCATGGCACGCTGGCGGAGCTCAGCAGCATGCTGGAGCGTGTCGAGTCCCTCACGGCGCAGATGGCGCCGCAGGTGGACCTGGGACCCGTCAAGGCGGTGCAGTCGCAGGTGCAGGCGGCTGCGGCGGCGGCGGCGCCCAAGAAGGAAGTGTCCAAGGAGCTCGAGCTGCGGCAGGCGATCAACAAGCTCAACCGATGCCAGCTGGAGGTGGACAGCTCCGCGGCGGCCCTGCAGGAGGCGGAGGACCACGTCATGCAGCTGCGCACTAAGAACCAGAAGGCCATCGAGGATGCAGCAGACGCGGTGCTGGAGCACAAGCGCGCGCTGGCGGCGTACCAGGCGGAGACCGTGTGCCAGGACCCCGAGCCGCCTCAGCAGGCGGACTGGCAGGCACCTGCGGTCGGGGACCTCTTCGACGACCTGGACGAGTATGAGGAGGAGGACAAGGCCAAGCTGGTCAAGTTCAAGGCAGACATGGAGGCGCTGGACAAGTTGCTGCAGGCAGCTGCAGGGCAGTTTCGGAAGTTCAGCGAGCTCAAGCAGCAGGCGGACCGTTTTAGACGGCAGGCACAGAAGAAGCGCAAGACCACGGAGGACGAGACCAAGAACGACGCGCAGGAGGCCCAGGCGCCAGCGGCATCTGGTGGGGGCTCCGCGGCGTCATCTGCGGCGGCAGGGACGGGAGGAGCCAGCCCTACCCAGCCGCCACCCACAGAGGAGCAGAAACGCGAGCGGAAGGAGGTCATTGACAAGATCAAGAAGCAAGCCGAGCACAAGGTCAGGGGCGCCAAGGCCAAGACCGCCCCCACGGCGTACAGTGACGCGGTGCGGGGTGCAGAGGCTGATAAGGATCCTGGTGGCGAGCAAAATCTTTAGCATCTTCTTCTCGAATATCACAATGTGGGGCCCAAAGGCCCATAAGTTCATCACGGAAGAAGGCAAGCAGAAGGACATCATCATGATGTGCGAGACGCACGTGGATCGTGAGCGACTGGAGCAGGTACGTGAAGTGGTGGCACGAGATGGTTGGAAGCTACAGGGCACGGCGGCGGTGCCTACGAAGCGGTCTGAGAAGGGCACCTTGGGGGGCGAGTTCATAATGGCCAGGACTCACCTCGCTTGCACTGGATACGACCTACTGAGGAAGCGCATCGTGGACAACGGAGATGTCGACCCGTTCAAGGGCTTCGCGGCACTCAATGTCCACACGCGCTCGGGCAACGTCATCCTGATCTCGGCCTACCTGGTTCCAGGCGAAGGTTTCACAGGGTCGAATTACCACAGGATTCGATCCCTGTCAGGCTTCATCAGATCTCTCACGGACCCATGGGTGGTCCTGGCTGATTGGAACATCCCAGCGGACAGAATGGAACGCGCTGAGCTACCTGGCAAGCTAGGAGGAGTGGTGCTACGACCAGATGTTGGCATCACATGTGACAAAGGCAAGGGAAGCCTCATTGACTACGGCATAGCAAGAGTGGACTTCGCCCCTAGACTCAAGCTGTACGTTCAGGGTCGCGTGCCATGGCGCACGCATTGTGGACTCCAGCTAACGATCGAGGGCACCAAAGAAAGCTGGTGGCATAGGAAGCTAGTTATCCCTAAGGCGCTCCCATACCAGGTGAGACCTCAGAAGGCGGCGGACCCTGACTCCAAGTCGAGCAAGAGGAAGCAGGAAGCGCAGCGACGTCGGCAGCAGGCCCTGGAGGAGCACTTGCAGGAGGCGTACGAGGATGCGATGATACTCGAGCAGCATGTCCCCGACAGCCAGGGCGCACCAGTGCGGAAGATGCCCTACTGCGTCTCGGAGGAGCTCTGGGAGCAGATTGGGATTGTGGAGCACGAGATGGAGCTGTCGGAGGAAATGCACATCATAGGTGAGAAGATGATCACCAGAGGCACGAAGCACCAGAAGGATGAGTACCAGTTGACGCAGCAGTATGGCCGGTGGGTCACCAAAGTGGAGGAGGCGTTCATCAGGCACGAGCAGCTGGACGAGCAGGAGGCGCAGGGCTGCCAGGGGCGCGCAGCTGGCTTTGATATACGATGGGTGCGAGCAAAACCCACGCCAGGCAGAACCCGCATGAGGTATGGCCCTGCGGAAGAATGGAGTATATTGGCAGCAGATCTGGTCAGATATCAGTCACTCTTTGCGAACGGCACCGACGGACAGCAGCAGAGAATGTGTGTGACACGCATGCAGAAGCAGCTTGGAGTTCTGAGAGGATTGCCGCGGAAGGACGCCTTCAGCAAGAATGTGACTGAGGCCAGCAGAGAGATGTACTTCGACATGGCATCCGACATATGGCAGTTGGACGAGGGGAAGCTAGCGAATCTGGTGGCCCAGACAGAGAAGCACTTGGCGGTGGCGTCGTCCAGATCTATGACCTCGGCTCGGAAGAACTTCGCCACCTGGGCAAAAAAGGTATGGCAGACCAAGGCGGGCATCCTGCACAGGCATGTCAAGGCCAAGGACGCGCCCCGTTATGAGATGGCCATCAGGGACGACGTCGCCACAGCAGACCCCACCATCATCATGAACACTAAGGCAGGAAAGTGGGGGACCATCTGGACGGACCCCGTGGACAGTCGAGCTGACATCATTGAGCAGCTGGAGCGCACCAAGCGTAGAGCGTGGGAGGAAGACCTAGACCCCATAGACATGGACATGCTCAATAGTGCGCTCCGAGCCACATCGGCATCCAAAGCGAAAGGTCTGGACCAGCTTGGCCCCACGGATATTGACAGACTTCCTGGCCAGGCTAAGCAAGAATTGTTGGAAATTTTGCAGAGAAGTGAAAGAACTTTGACATGGCCAAGACAGCTATCAGCCACCAAGTGCGCCATGGTGGCCAAGCCTGGGCCAGGTGCAGGTGATCGAGTATTGGGTATGTTACCGTTACCAGTGAAGTTATGGTCGAGAGCGAGAGGCGGAGCATGTGCCTTGTGGAGTGCTGGGCTATCAGACCACTGGGACACTGCGATCAAGGGGAGCTCGGCGCTCAGGGCAGGACTCCTTCGGTCGATCTTGGACGAGACAGGCATCGAGATCGGCGCCTCGGCCATGACATTGCTGTTGGATATAGAAAAGTTCTACGACACGGTCTCGCTGGTCATATTACTGCAGATTGCGTGTACGGCAGGGTTCCCTGCGGTGGCAGTTGGATTGGAAGCGATGATCTTTCTTGGACCCAGATATTTGCAGGAGCGTTCTGTCATCAGCGAGGCCATCTGGCCCACCAGATCGCTGGTGGCAGGATCCGCTAGAGGAGTAACTCTAGCGAAGCTTTTTCTTCATCCAGTGCTTGAGTTGGCGCATCGAAGGCACCCAACAGCAGGATTGTGGACGTTCGTGGACGACACGGTAGCAAGATGCGAGGGCAGTTCACACACGGTGGCTGAGCAGCTGCTGGAGGTGTCGACGGATATATGCACTGGATTGGTGGAACAACGTATGACTATATCGAATAAGACCACGGTGATAGGCTCGGACTTGAAGGAGGCGCGGAAGACAGCTAAGCGGTTACGAATACGTGGCATACCTGCGAAGGCCAGCGGCGTGGCGACGGATCTGGGCCTGGACACATCAGCAGGACGTAAGCGGGTAGCAGTAAAGAGCAAGCAGCGGCAGCTCAAGGCGAGGATGAGGTTCGCGAAGATCTTGAAGCTGAGGAAGATCGCTGCGCTGAAGCATGAGTCCGAGGGCCTCTATAACGTGGGCGCGCTGCCGCAGGCGATCTATGGGCAGCAGACGTACGGCATGTCCAAGCAGGCGATCACCGTGCTGAGAAGGCAGGCGGGCAAAGTGGCAGGAGGCAGTGCAGGAGGTCGATGTCTGACGACCACGCTGGGTATGGAGTTAGGCCTGAGAGACCCCGCAGTTGATCTCAGACTGGGTGTGGTGCGAGAATGGATAGGTCTATGGCAGAGGTTTCCCCACATCCATCGACGAGTTGCGAAAGCTTGGCCGTCCATCAAGGCGCGGCTCCACAGATATGGCGACAAGAGAGGGCGAGCAGTTCGGGGCCCCACGGGAGCTCTGATGGCAACGCTAATGGATGCTGGATGGACACCCTCGACAGCAACTCAATGGCATCGACCTGGACCTGAAGAGCTGGAGATGTGGGAGCTGCCGACCTCCGAGGACGGCAAGTTCGTGGCCACGGGCTGCTTCCAGGAGCTCCTGGACGACCTGGAGGGCGATATACGCAGGGACCTCTGGACGGAGGCGGCCAAGCACGAGTTTGGTGACAACTTGCAGGAGGGCGGAGACTTGTGGCCCATTGTAATGGAGCAGCGCAGGTTCGAGCGAACGGGGATGCTGGATCAGCTGGCGCTCAACGTGACGGTGGTCGCTGGCGGCCAGTGGCCGAGAGTTCGCTGCAGGGAACAAGGATACGAAGTTTTAGTCGAATGCCCGAGATGTAAGCAAGCCCCTGAGAGCTTGAAGCACAGAATATGGGAATGTTCCAGGAACACTGATCATAGCGATTATAGCAAAACTGAGCCTTTGGTTGTAGCGGCTTTAGCACAAGCAGAAGCGGAGCCAGCTTTATGGCTCCGTGGTCTTCCCCCTACTCGCCTCACTCACCCCCTCTTTGACGATGGGCGGCTGGAGGGTCGGGAGCTTAGGCTGGGCGGGGAGGGGGACTTTGAGGCCTCTCGAGGAAGCGACGGGGTTTTAAAGGTTTACGGCGACGGCTCGGGGGGGCGATTTTCTGACGACCCCAGACGGAGGAGATGTGGCTCTGCGATCTGCTCCCTGAGGTGGTCCCAGGGAGAATGGATTGTCCAGGCGGCTTTGGCCCGCCCCCTGCTCGGAGCCCGCCAAACCGTCCCGCGCTCTGAGATCCAGGCGTTTTGTTTAGCTTTGGAAGAGATCCCTGGGCCTTTCGTTTTCGTCACTGATCATCTATCGGTCGCTAAGAAGTGGCGTTTTAAAATGGAGAACCCGAGCCCGACTGGGGCTAACGAAGATTTGTGGACCAGGGCCCGCGTGTCCTGGAGTTCTAGGCCAGATTCCGCCACTGTCGAAGTGCAGTGGACACCCTCTCACACGGATGAATCCCCAGAGCTGCTGACTACCGAGCTGCAGTTAGAGACTGCGGTGGGTAATGCAGTGGCAGATATATGGGCGGGAGAGGGGGCGGAGCTGGCTTGGGAGTTCGGTTTGGTTGGGGAGAACCCGCAGACAGATAGAATAGATGCCATTGCCAGTTTAGTGCGTCGGCGCGCGAGAAGAGCGTTGGCCGACTCAGCGGGTGCAGAAGTCCAAGCGAAGAATGGAAGGCAGGAGGTAGCTAAGCGACCCCCAGCCAACAAGTGTGCTGTAGCAGTTCGAGAGTCGGCCCACCGCCTCGAGAAGTCGGGCACGGGTTGGAGGTGTGCGGTGTGCGATCAGGTGGTGCCAGGATCTCGACTGCTTAGGTTCTCGGCCACCCCTTGCACTGGCAGGGCCATCCCAGAGGGACAGTTGCCCCCAGAGGTGATTCAGGCCCCCAGGAGTTTCGTGGCGGGGGCCTTTGAGTTTCACGAAACTCATGCGATGTTTTATGTGGACAAGTGGTTCATGCATGCCTGTAGCAAGTGTGGTCGCTATGCCACGGTCGACGGTAGGCATATCAGCAAGCGTTGCGAGGGGTTGACCCCCAAGGGGACAGAGAACCTCGCTCGAATTCGGAAGGGTATATATCCCAGGAGGGAGGGGCCCCCTCAAGCCGTAGTGGAGGCTATGGCGGCGCGTGATCGTGAGAGGGTGGTGTCGTCTCACGTCGGTCGTTCGTGCGAAGGAGAAGCGCCAGGGGGCCCCTCCCTCGCCCCTCCCCCACCGCCCGTCCCAGCGGAGGCAAGGCCTGCCGCCCAGGAGAGTGCAGCACAGCTTCGGAGTGCTCAGGCTCGACGACGGGATCCGCCCCGCGTTTTTGGGGCGGTGGGAGGAGGAGGCGATTCAGGCAGTTCAGACTAACCCCACTGGAGGGTAATTTTGTGGAGGACAGAGGTCCGCTCTCATAGCATTCCCATAGCATTCCTCCCCCTCCCCCCCTCCTCCCCCTCCCCCTCCCCCTCCTCCTCCCCCTCCCCCTCCTCCTCCCCCCCGACGACAATGCTTTCGACCTCCTGGAGGTCCTCTTGGCGACTTCTTGGGGCGTCTTGGGGGATTCTTACGCCATCTGGAGGGCATCTTGGGCCGTCTTGGGGCCCTCTTGGCCGTCTTGGGAGTCTCTTGGGCTGTCTTGGGGCCCTCTTGTACCGTCTTGCGGGCCTCTTGGGGGCCTCCAGGGCCGTCTTGGGGCAATCTTGGGGGCTCAGGGGGCCGTCTCGGAGCGTCGGAAGCCCGAAAAGGCTAGACCGCTAACATCATTGAAACAACTAAGGAAACCATACATGACTTTGGCCTCCAGGAGGTTCTCCTGGAGTCATCTTGGGGTATCTTGGGGGCCTCTTGGGCCATCTGACGGACATCTTAGGCCGTCTTGTTCGGGGCAGTTTGGAGGCCATCTGAGCCGTCTTGGAGGCCCTGCTGGGGTCAGCTTGCGGCTGGAAGACCAATGGGATATGACATTGGGGTGGCTTCAGGATGGCCAGCGGGCTGGGCCGAGGCCCCATTAGAAACCTGTAGTAGAAAGAACCAAAACACCCAATCATCCAGCACGCCGTGCATCCATGTGGCAAGCCACAAGGGGGCGGCGGATCGAAGACGCCTACGGCGAACCACCGCCGCTCCCTGCCTGTTGGAAGCGCCAGCGTGGCCGAACGTGGTGGCCAGAGCTCGGTCACGCGATCGGGCTGTGTGTTCCCCTGGCCGTTGAGAGACCGTTCGCACCTGCCGGAGGAAGAGGACGATGACGAGAGAGAGGCGAAGGCAGAGGGCCTCTTGGGAGCTTTTGGCGCGCTCTTGGAGCCTCCTTGGGGGCCTCCTGGGGGCCTCACGGAGGCCTCTTGGCGGTCTCCTTGGGCTTCTCGGGGGCGGCCGTCTGCAACTTCTGCTCGTCTGGGCGCTCCTGGCCCGCCTGACGCCGTCGGAAGCCGTCTTGGGGGCCTCTCTTGGTCGACTTTGGGCCCTCTCGGGACGCTTCGGGGCCGTATTGGAGGCCATCTGGAGTCGCCTGGGCCGTCTTGGGGATCTTGGGGCCGTCTCGGGGGCCTCTTGGGCAGTCAGGGGGCCATCTCGGAGGCCTCTTGGTCGCTCATGGTGCCATCTTGGGCCGTCTTCCGCCGTCGGAAAGCCGAAAAGGAGCAAATGACACACTGCTTCAAACACCTAGCAGAAATCAATGATTTTGACCTCTTCGGGCCTTCCTGGAGATCCTTTTGCAGGCCTCTTGGACCGTCTCGGAACCTTCTCGGGGGCCTCGTGGGCCGCCGCCTTGAGTACATCTCGGCTTGTCTTGTAGACATTTTGGGGCCAATATTGAAGCCGTCTGGGAGGCATCTTGAGTGCCATCTTGTCCGTTTTGGATGTCAATTTTATAGTTTTCCCTGACCATCTAGGTTGCCAGCGCGATTTCGGTCGAGGCCCCACTGGGAACTTCTAGAACGGACCAACAAAACCAACCATAAGTTTAGCGCGCCGTGCACCCCTGCGGCAAGCCGACAGGGGGCAGCGGATCGAAGACGTCTACGGCGAACCACCGCCGCCCCCTGCCTTCTTGGAAGCGCCTATGTGGCCGAAAATTGGGTTAACGGGCAATGTGTTCCCCCGGCTGTCGTGGAAACCTTTCGGGGAATACGTGAGGAGGATGAGAACAAGGAGAAGAAGGA